GAGAGACAGGAGTGGTCCCTGCCTGGAGAGGCAGGTGGGGGACTGAGTGAGAGATGGGGGCAGACAGAGGCTAGTGGGGGTGAGCTGGCTCACCTGTCCGGGGAAGGCTCCTGACACTGGCGTGGAGCCGCCTGAGTGGCTGGGGGAGTTGGGCAGGGACTTGCAGGAGGCCAGCAGAGCACCCTGCTTCTTCATCAGAGCCATCTTCTGAGCAGCTGGAGCAAAGAGGAGATCGTCAACAAGGACAGACTGGCACACAGCTACACTGGCATGACAGTCAAACTGGCACACCGCTACACTGACAGACAGACAGACTGGCACACCGCTACACTGACAGACAGACAGATACACTGACAGGACAGTCAGACTGGCACACAGATACATTGGCAGGACAGACAGACTGGCACACAGATACACTGACAGACAGACTGGCACACAGATACACTGACGGGACAGTCAGACTGGGACACAGATACACTGACGGGACAGACTGGGACACAGATACACAGACAGACAGACAGACAGACAGACAGATGCACTGACAGGACAGTCAGACTGGCACACAGATACACAGACAGACTGGCACACAGATACACAGACAGACTGGCACACAGATACATTGGCAGGACAGACAGACTGGCACACAGATACACAGACAGACAGACAGACTGGCACACAGATACACTGACCGGACAGACAGGCTGTCAGACTGACAGGCAGACAGACTGACATGCTGAAGCACTGATGGCACCCACTGGCACCCGGACAGGCCCAAACCCCGAGACAGAGAGGTGTGCTCAGCAATGGCAAGAATGTCTTCGGTTTTGAGAAGCTCACCCTCTGTGAAGACCCGGTCCACGTTGAGCCCGTAGGTGGCACAGGTCTCGTAGTACGCACAGCGCCGCACATCTGTGCACAGCTGGCGGGCTCGTGCATCTTCGATAACACGTGGGTTCGAACTGCTGATCTTGTCTAGGGAGGGAGGGACAGAGGGACACAGAGACAGTCAGGCAGGGGCTTGGGGAAGGAAGGACTCCGCGCTCCTCCTCACTGCCTCTCTTACCCTGAGTGCCCACCACTATGAGTGGGATCTCGGCCGTATTGCGGTACGAGCTCAGCAGGCTGTAGTTCTTGTAGACCTCTTGGAAGCTGCTCTCATTCTCCAGACTGAACACGAAGATCACAGCGTCCACCCAGGCGCTGAACTGCAGACAGAGAGGGGGGGAACTATTGTGGTGTTTTGGTGGTTGCAACACTTAGATAGGGCAGTGCTGGATATCCCATATCCCATCAGGCACAGAGCCTAATGCCTACGACCTTTTTAGGGCCTACGAAGGAGGGAAACACTAGCGACTAAGGAAAAATGAGCCGAAACACCACGCTTGCGATCGACTCTAGGCGCTCCAAATCAACAATCGGACGCTACCTAGCGGCTCTTCTAGAAACTAAAAGTATCGAAGTGATGGGCGCTCGACTCACCCCATCAATCACGGGGTTTAGCATTAGAATGGTGTAGCGCTAAACGGCTGCACCTCCCAGCTATGTGCCGCAGGGCAGGCTGGGGGCAGTGGCCTTGGGGCTGGACTTGAGGTCAGCGAGTTGACCGGAGATTGACCTGGTAGTGTAAAGAGCCTAGAGAGTTTATGAGGTGCCATTGGAAATAGTTGTCAGTGTTTTGCTGCTTTGTCCTTGTAACCGTCTGTAAAAAGAAGTGCCCCTCCTTACTCCTTACCCTGTGTGTGTAAGCCCTTGTTTCAAGTTTCAATCTCTGTCTGTCAGAGTCCGAGGGGGTGGAGGTAAATAAACCTGTTGTGGCCGGCTCATCAGGGCGAATCCCCCGGTCAATACAATAGTTTAAAGTGCGACGTGTCAGTCGATGTAATTCAATTACCCCTCTTCTTGCACATTTCGGAGTGAAAGTGCCTAGGGCCTACGAACACCCAAATCCGGCCCTGAGATACAGGGGGTTCATGGCGGGCCTCTGGAGTTCTGACGGATGGCAGAATGAGAAGCAAGCACTGCTGTCCAGACCCCACTGGGACACCCTTAGGTGCCTCTTCTCTCCTGCTGGCTTCTCAGGAAAAAGCTGCTGTCACACAGCGGCCGGGCCCAGTCTACTGCACTTCACTCTTGACTTGATTGACTTCTACCCTTAATTGTTTGGAACAAATGTTTCCAAACGCACGGTGAATTATGGGAACGAGCACAGTTGCCTGCCCCTGGCCTGACGCGCCACAGAACCCGAGGGCGGGTCGTGCAAGTTCCACGTTCCCTCTCTCACCTGGGCGTCGGGGGCTGACTCCTCCCTGATCAACAGCAGGTGGCTCTGACCGTCGACCAGCACTTCCTTCTTGTACCTGCCACCTGGGGGCGAGAGAGAGGAGGGTCGGTACTGTCGGCCACGGCTCGGCGGCCTCGCCTTGCCTCGCCGCGCGGGACGGCGATCTGGTACCTTCGGGGGACTCTGCGGCCAGGTAGCTCCCGGTGATGTACCGGTTCACCAGGGCGGACTTCCCGCTGCGCAAGCTGCCCAGCACCCCCTGCGGAGAGACAGAGGGGGGGGCGAGACTGAGAGAGGACCAGGAGGAGAAACGAGGGAGCGTGGGACAATCGGAGCAGGGGGACAGAGGGAGCGAGAGATGGCGCGCCGCCACTTACCAGCCTCAGCTCAGGGATGGAGCGGCTCAGGGTCCACTCCTGGCTGTTGGCGCAGGCCGCTGGCGAGAGGGAGAGAGGAGGGAGAGTGAGTCTGTTTCCGGTCCGGGGACGCTCGCTTCAGGAAAACGCAGCAGCCCGGGGGAGGTCACGCCCCACGCCCCACGTACGAGCCTTCAGCGAGCGGGGTCAAAAAAGGTTTCTGAGCTGCGGCCCGTGCAGTGCCCTCTGTGCCCTCTGCGATGGAGGCGCGGAGAGATGCCGCTCTGTCACCGGCATCTCCTGCCATGCTGTGCCCCATATGTGCCTGCTCTCGGGTACAGATGGCAAGCGGCAGGAGGGCAGGGGAGCGGTTGGCTGAGCAGTCCAGAGCCAGCGTGGGCGCCTGGTGCTGCCCTGCCCGCCGGCTCCGGCCTGTTATCAGCTCCGGGCCAGGGCAGAGATGACCCTTCCCCCTGCCGCCCAGCATGGCAGGAGAGGGGACAGGGGAGCGCGTGCCGTCTCCTCATGCCAGCTTCATGCCAGCCCTGGGCTCTAGAGTCCTGGCACTGCCCGTCTGTTTTAATTTTTACTGTTATTATACATCTGTTTTTTTATTTGCTCTAAGAAAGGTGGATTTTTGTCTCCCAGGATACAGACTGGGAGCGCTGAAGTCTATACACTCACTTCCACACGCCCGCTTCAGCGCTGACACAGAGCTCTGAAGAATATCAGAAAGAGAGACACAGGATGGTTACAGAACTGCACTGGAAACCCTGACATGTCCACCAGGCCAGTACTGCCCCTTTTCAATTGAAAGAGCACGTGGGGGGGGGAGAGGAAAGAGGAAGGAGAGACTGAGCAGAGTGCTCGTCCATTCCGTTTTCCCCACTGTGCACAGTCATCTGCTCCTCCCTTCTCTCAATCTGCACTGACACCTCCGAGGTCCTCCAATGGAAAAGCATCTTCTGCTGTTGCTATGCCGACACAAGGAGGACGCCCCACCTCCTGCTTCACACCATAGAAAAGCACATGCAGAACGATGGGAGGGGTTAAAGGTCACAGAGCCACACTTTAAGCTGCACTAAGAGACGACATTGGTCTTGCTCAGGGCACAGCAGTGAAACGTTTACAGTTTGCCTCTTTCCCCATCATAGACTCATTTTTCATTAGAAACATTTACTGTAAATCCATTTCACAGCACATCTGCCAATTCAGACAGGTCTTCCTCTCCACTCTCTGCTGTACACGGAGACACGCAGACGCAGGTGCCCTCACTCAAGCACGCACACGCAGGCAGGCCACTGGGTCAGGGGAGCTCAGCGGGGCGGAACTCGACTCTAATTAAAAATCACCCATACGGTCAATTAATGAAGCTCAATCACACATTCCTGGTCCCTGGGGCGACTCCGAAGAAAGAACAGCCCTTCCTGAAGTCTAGCAGGCTTGGCTCAGGTTTTACCCTGCTCACACCTCAGCCTTTCCCTCTCGCTGTGCGCAGTGCTTCCCATGGGTTGGATCACATTTATTGACCACGAATTTTACAGCCCCTGGGCCTGACCGCTGCATAGCGCAGTGGGGTGTTATCGACAAAGCTGGATGGGCTGAGAGGGAGAGAAAGAAGGGAGGAGAGACTGGTACACTGGCGAGGAGTGAGAGAGAGCTGGGGAAGCAGAGGTCCAGCAGGAATGTTGGTATCTGTGCTATCATCTGACACAAAGCGGTTTAATGACAGAGACTGATACTAAGCATCTCCTGAGGGCCTTAGTATCCTCAAAAACACACGTGAGGACAAAGTTGGTGCAAACTTTGCTTATTATACAGACCAGTC